ACCTAGAAGAGACCTCAGTCATCAACTAATCCAATTCTCTCTCTAAATGGGGAAACTGAGGCCAGAAAGGTCAAGTAATTTGTCCAAATTCAGAGAGGTACTGAGTAGCAAGTGACAAACACTGAGTCCAATTCTCTGATTACAACACTCTTTTCACCAGACCTGCAGAAGCAGTTGCTACACCTTATTACAATAATTAACTTGTTTTAAGCCTAGGAGTAAAATATCATAGCCCAAAGTTTCATATGATTCCCTCCTTTATGGCTTTAAAGAGTTTATTCTAATTTAGGTAAAGAGTTATAAACTTAAGCACAATTGCTCCTAGCCCCTAGTTAGGAAAATTCCTAACATTTAGGGAAAGGTTTGGCTCTCTTCCTTAGTTTATATTTATTTTTATCTTTAGTTAAGCTCTGGCTTCTTTGTAATTGCATCAAAATTCAGTTTACTTGAAACATGTTGGTAATCAATCAGTAGATTATATTACGGTGTCTACTTATAGACAGGCACCAAGAGGGGAAATGGGGGAAAGAGTAGACCTTCTCTTGAGACTGCTTTCATTTCCTGAGCTGGTGGGTGCACCGGTGGCACCCTAGTCTTCTGAACTGAGATGCCTATAAAGCCAATGGACATCCTCAATTTTCTGCCACAATTAGGTCCTACCTTCTCTTTTTTCTTCCATTGGTTGCTGACGAGTTCTTTCTGTCTCAGCTCTGTATGACCTTTTTTTTTTCTCTGTTTACCTCTTATCTAGTTTTGCTATAGCTCCTGCCTTTTATACATATTCTTTAGGAACTCATCAACTCTCTCACATGGTGGCTTTGATTGATTCAAGGAGACATACAGTCCCTGTTTAAAATCCTACTTAAAAGTTTCTTTTAAGTGTGATGTGATAATCAGTGGAGCCCCACTGTTGCACAGGCATAAGTTAATGAGAAATTAGGAGAGTGAGAATATTAGTGAGAAATTAGAAGTTAAGGAAGTCTTCTGCCAAAGTTATGGATTAGTATAGGGTGGTGTTTTAGAGTCCCCAGAGAATCACACCTGGGAAATCATTCTACTTAAATGTTGGTGAGGGAAAAGATCACATGGGTAAGAAGGAACCTATTGTCTTGGGTGACAAAGGAATTTGAGGGAAATTTGGTTTGGACTTAGAGTAGAAATAGGATGGAATTAAGAAAATTCTCCTTGCAAATAGCCTAACAGAAAAGGACTTAAGCCAGGAAGAGGCTAGACTTGAGTATTTGGATAAATTCCTCCAAAGCAATCTCTAAGACTAATTTCTCACACTGAAAAAAGCTAGAATCTGTGAGTACATTTTCTCTATATGCTGATTTACTTAATAATTTCTTATACCAATGATGGTATGGTATAGTATCATTACATGGGTAACTAATAACCATACCTTGCTTCTGATTAGGAGTTATAAGCAAAACAAAAACTGAAGAACTATGTTTCATAAGAAAAAGTCCTAGTAAAGAATCAATAAGACTTAAAGTGGTGTCAACTAAACATGACATTAAAAACATCCTGTTGGAGCCACTTGAGTAAGTCAGTACACAGACCATTTGTTAGGCTTAGACCATGCATCCTACTCTAAAAACAACTATAACTCAGAAGTACCGATCAAGAGCCCCATGCCTACTTTACTGATCTCCACAAAAGCAAAACTATATGTCTGGTCAAATTAGTTTGAGTTTCCCACTTAAATTATTTAATCATTTCTTACTTCTCCGGAATGTGCAGTCAGTGCATGAAAAACTGGTTCAAGGATTTATGGATAAACACTGGATTTATTTTTGCATTTGTGGCTGCTCAGCAACTCTCACTTGTCTAATAAGGATGAGAGTCAGCATATCTAGTAAATAGCAGGACAATTTTCCGGTTAGGAAGACCTGGGTTCAAGTTCTGCCTCTGACAGGTTCACAGGGGTCTCCTGGCATCCCTGGCAACCCTCAAGACAGGAGTTCTTATCCAGGATTTATGAACTCATTTTGAAAAATATTTTGATAACTGTATTTTAATGTAACTGGTTTCCTTTCTCATCTTCTATATTTCATTTTATGAGAAGGGGTCCATAGATTCCACCTGACTTCTAAAGGGGTTCATGACACAAAAAAAAGTTCAGAATCCTTGCTCTAAGACTTTAAGTTACAGACAACATATTGTTTGCTGTGGTAATTTTAAAAAAAACAAAGAAAATAGAGATAATTGCCTTTTTTCTGTTTGCTCTCCCAAGGACAATAGAAAATCTAGATTCTCTGTTGTTGGAAGGCAATGTAGTGTAGTAGAAAGCTCACTAGATTTGGAGTCAGATCTCATCTCAAAACCTGACTCTAACCTTTAGTAGTTGTATGACTATGGAAAAGTCATTTTATATCACAGCTTTGGTTTCCTAAGCTTTACAGTACAAATCACATCTCTCACTCTATTTGTATCAATCAGTTGTTATGAGAAAAGGGCTTTGAAAACCTCATAGCACTATATAAACATGAATTATTATTGTTAGGCTTTGGGAAATATTATTTAAGGAGATTGTATAATCGCCTCTAAAGAGCTTGAAGAACAAGTAAATGACCATCAGAAATTGAACTGAACTGAGTCCCCCTTCTACCACTTAATAGCTATATGATTGTGAACAAGTCACTCAACCTATCAATAAGCCTTAGTTTTTCATCATAAAATGGAGACTCTAATATGTAAGGGAGAAAGATTTGGTATCTTCCCCTTTCCTCCATGCTCAGTTGATGTAGCCACAAGATATAATCAGAGATAATAGGACTTTAATGACAATTATTGGCCACATGCCCAGGTGACTTTAAAAAAGTCTGGTCAGTCTAGTCAGTATAAGTCAATTGGATAGAGATAGTGAAGCAGAATTCAGAAGTCAGGGAAGAACCCAATTCTTCACCTCTTAGAAAAAGAGAGAGGAATGCATTTTTTTTCTCCTAGCTTACCCTCTAATAACAGAGCTACTCCCTCCAAGGGAGATACTCCATACAGCAGCTGGAGAATCAGTTAAAAAGAGTTTAAGGCACAGTTGAGGGAACAGAGATGCATGCTCCAGACAGACAGATTAAAAAATGGTAATCATTCTAGACAGGAAGTAGCTTCAAGGAGAGTGACCTCTGGCAGCAAAGAAGAGAGTCAGCTATGGACCCAAGAAAGAGTTAGCCCTGGAAGTTTTGTGATGACACTATCAGTAAAGAAAGAACATTGCAACCCTGATGTTATGGAGTTGTCAGCTGCTTTGGCCACTTGGGTTCCCTAGATGAATGTCTCACTACCATTGTATTCTAAGTTTGTGCCTACTATTCCAATGGACACTGTATATGTGAGAGAGTCAGATTTGTGTCAGGAAATGTTTCGATACTATGCCACCTTAGTAAATGTCTTTGATAAGACTCAATTGTGTCTGCTAGCTGACTGCTAATGGGAAGCAAACTAGTAGGAGGATGATGTGCTATAGTATTAGGAGTAGGTACTCACAGGGTACCCTTTGAATCTCAAGGTAGTAGCTACTCAATGAAGAGTAGCTCCAAAAAGGGATATTACAAGTTAATGTACTACAAATTTAGGGGCAGCTTGGTGGTGCTGTGGATAGAACACCTGGCCTGGAGTCGGAAAGATCTGACTTCAAATTCTGCCTCAGATGCTTACCACCTGTGTGACTCAGAGCAAGTCACTTAACCTCTGTTTGCCTCAGTTTCTTAATCTGCAAAATGGGGATAATAAGAGCACCTACCTCTCAGGGTCATTGTGAGTATCAAATAATATTTGGAAAGCACAGTGCCTGACTAATATAGGGTGATATAAGAAACAGAAAATATGAATAAAAATTTATTTTTAAAAAATGCATTTAAACCTTCCTCAAGACTTACTTGGTTCTAGGGACTAAGATTTGAGCCATTGACAAGGCTTTCACGTCACCCAAAGGCATAAAAGATAGCCCATAAAGTTACTGTGCCCTTCACACTTACCAGAATGTCCCCTTGCCCTGTGAGTACACACCCCACCCTTCTCTGTTCAGATCTGTTTCCATATGGAGACAAGAGAGAAAACTGGAGCTTGTACTTTATCCTTGCTGAAAATTCTCCCCTCCACTGGCCTGTCATCATTACACTAATTAATTATGGTGATTTTGGTGGTGGAAGCAAGATAAGCAGAAGTAGATATGGCAAATAGGTAATCCACAGCACCTTCTGCTTCCCTGTGGAATCTACTGATCTATTAACCAACTATTTTTGTTTGAAAAGCACTGTATCAGAAAAAGCAATGTTGTTATGAATCAATGCACATATAACCCCAACTCAATAAACTTCAGTGGCTCCCTATTACTTCCAGGATCAAATATATTCCTTTATTTGACCTGTTCCCTTCCTACCTTTCCAGTCTTCTTAATCTTTACTCTCTTCTCCATATCCAGCATTTAGACTGATCTGTTTCACACAGGACACTCCTCCTATCTTAGTACCTTAGTAATTGCTGCTCCCCAAACCTGGAATACATATCCTCCTCACCTCCACCTATTGAGTTTCCTGGCTTTTATCAAGAATGAGGTCAAATCCTACCTTCTGCAAAGGCCTTTCTATTCACTCCAGCTGCTAATATCTTCCTCTCTGAGATTACCTTCCATCTATTCCGTATAGACCTTATAAATATCTAATTGTTTGCATATTGTCTTCCCTACTAAAATATGAGCTACTTGGGGAAAGGGCCTGTTCAGTGATTGACACAATGCCAGGAACAGAGTAAGACCTTAATACATGCTTCTTAACTGATTGTGACTGACCTGTGTCTCGGGTAAGTCAAAGTTTCTCTGAACCTCTGTTTCCTCATCTATCAAATGAGAATTGAATAAGATGACATGTAAGTTCCCTGGCAGTTCTACATCCTATAATGCTATTTAGGAGGAAAGGGAAATAAATTGTCTGGAGAACATTCCCTCCTTCCTGACCCCATGTAGTTTGTCCAAGGGTCCTGAATCCTTGAAAGGCACTCACCTGGCAGAAGTTCAGATTGGTCTAAGCAGCAGCTCCTTGCAGAGGGATGTAGTACAATGTCCTACTAGAACAGCAGAGGTTGACCTCTTCCCAGTGAGAGAATGGAAGTAGCTTTGTAACTGGGGCTGTTTATTTTTTTCCCCTACAAGCTGCTCAATGCAAGATGGTGGTGGGAAAACAAATGCTAGAGCACCAGGTGGTTTGTTGGAATCTTCTGTGACACTGTGATGAACTGACACAGATATTTCAGTTCTTGGGACTTTCTCCAAGTTTCAAAGTCCAGCAGCCACAGAACTTTAAAGCACAGGGGAAAAAAAAAACTCTAACCAGGAAATGAGTTGAAAGGCCTTTGGACTCATTGAAATTTCCTTGGGTGTTATGACTATAGAAATATCAGATGAACTTTCTTTAAAACTTTTTGGGAAAGTTGTGAATTATGGGGTACAATTAACAACTGAAGGGTCAACAGTGTTCTGGTATCTTGGTATTATTTCCTTGAGTCTCAGAGTCTCCATCAATAAAATTCTAGATCTAGAGATGATATAAGTTCCTTTCTAGCTTCTAAATTCTATGAATATACAATTATTCACCTGAGGGGCACACTGAAGACACAAGAAACATGCTACTACCTGATCCAGTAGAGGGAGAGAAAGCAAGAAACAGTAAGAGATTGGAAGCTGTTAAGAGTTTTTGAAGTGTGAAATCTATTTATGGCAATTTTTGCATCAGGAGATTGCTGACTAATGATCACTTCTGATTGCATACATGGGAGGCAGGGTGGAAAGAGGCTGCAATCTCTTTCCCTTGGAAAATAGTATGTGAAGTTTGCTATGGCCAGAAAATTCCCCTCACAGCTAGTCTGAGGCTGAGCCTCTCCACACTTAGCTTAGCTAGTCCTCAGGTAACATATACAAGTCACACACATACACACACTCTATCAGTATGTTTGTATTATAAAAGCTGTATCACAAACACATAATGGCTTCTTTGATGGTGTTCTAATTCTTTTCCTTCTCAGTCTCCTTCATAGCAGCAGCATCTCTCTCTCTCTCCAGGGGTAAACCCCAAGGCCCTGTCCTACCCTCCTCTTCTTTCCATACTCACTCTTGGTCATCTTACCAGATCCTATGTGTCCAATTATCATCTCTATGTAGATGACTATAAAACTTAAATATACAACAGACCCTCATCTCTCTCCTGAATTCTAGGCCCACACATGTTCAAATACCTGCTTGACATTTCTACCTGGATGCCCCATAGGCATCTCAAACTCAACATCATTGAACTCATTGTCTTTCTTTCTAAACCCATCAGGCCTAGTAACTCCCCTCTTTCTACAGAGGAAACCATCATTGTTCCCAGTCATTCAGGTTTATAACCTCAACTAGACTCTCACTCATCTCTCATACCCAATCAATTACTAAGAACTATCAGTTCCACTTCCTCAGCAATGCTCACATCTATTCCCTTCTCTCCACTCACATAGCCACCATCTTAATTCAGGCCCTCATCATCTCTTATTCTGGATTACTTCAATGGCTTCCTAATTAGTCTTCTTGAATCTAGTCTCTCTTCTCTTCAATCTATCCTCTACACCAGTATCTGCCAATTTTGTTTTGATTGCTCACCCCTATCAGTAAGAAGAGTTCATGCAGGCACCTCTAGCATATACATATTTACTTTTATAAATTTAAGTTATATCTATTTATTTATAAATTACGGCTGGTGTTTATGTAACGATTATTAAGATTATAAAATATAAACTTTAAAAGGCAAAGATGGGGCAGCTAAGTGGCGCAGTGGATAGAACACCGGCCCTGGATTCAGGAGGACCTGAGTTCAAATCTGGCCTCAGACACATAACACTTACTAGCTCTGTGACCCTGGACAAGTCACTTAACCCCATTGCCTAGCCAAAATATAAATAAATAAATAAAAGGCAAAGATGAAATATTTTTAATGAAGTTTATAAGTGATACAATGCATTTGGATATACTTCTCAAGTTTTGAAAATCTTGACATAATACTTTGTGCAACATGGAAATTTGGAGATTTGGTTCCAAGTTCGTTTTAGTTGCTTGATTTTAATGACTATCATAACCTAAAAAGATAACTGACAGAGATATATGGATCCACATACCTTTGGAAGAAAGTGTAACTTTGTTAGCTGTGCTTACTAAATCATGATACTTATCTTTAAGTTCTTTAAAACTTTAAGTTTTTCCCACGAGATAATCAGCAAATCTCAGTGTGATACAAAAGCTGAAAGTCACTCCCTACCTCACTGCAAAGTATTGAAAAGATTCTGTTATTGAAAGGACTTGGGTTTTTTGTTTGTTTTGTTTTGGTTTTTTTTTTATAAAGTAAACCACATCAAAAACATCCTGTAGCACTCTGAGTACTTCTAGCTTAAATTTCTCTACTGCAAATAGCTTACTCTTGTGAATGAAGTTGATTTATGGTGCTATCTCTGTAACCTTATCCTGGAATCCTTTTATTCCATTCAAAGTAGCCACTGCATTTAAGCAACTTTTCCAGATTGCTTTGACTAAAGAAGTACTGTTCTTTAATACAGATCTTTCGTTCAGTGGCTTACAAAAACATTAATCTTCCCGTTTTTCATTACTGAAACAGAATCTAGCAAATTCTATGAGATGAGACATGTTAGAAACATTTGAATGGCTAAACAAGTTGTTTGAATGCAATGGAATATTACTTTGCCGTAAGAAACAACAAATATGATGAACATAGAGAAGCATGGAAAGATTTACATGAACTGATGCAAAGTGAAGTAAGAAAAGCAAGGAAAATAATACACACAGTTACTGCAACAATATAAATTGAATGAATAACCACAAAAGTGAATGTTGCAAAAGTATAAAGAACAAGCTTGGATCCTGAAAAGAGATATGAGAAATGTTTCTGCTGGGTTTTTTAGCTGAACTGTTGGGGCCTGCTCCTTTCCACAACCCTACTCTTAATTGCCAGGGCTAATTACTAGTCAAAAGTCAGTCAACAAGCTGACCACATGACAGATGCTATGCTAAGCCCTGGGGATACAAAGAAAGGAAACTTACGTTCCTTGACCTCAAGGAGCTCAATTCTAATGGGGGGTCAGACAACACGGAAAAATCATACATTCAAAATATATTCAGTGTAAATAGAAGTTAATCTCAGAGGGAAGATATTAACTGCTGAGGTGAGAAGGGAAAACATTTCAAGCATGGAGGAGACAGTAAAATGGTACACATAGAGAGTCACATTTGAGGAGTGGCAAGAAGATGCTGAACTGTAGACTAATGGTGAGGAGTAAAGTATAAGAAGACTGGAAAGGGAGGAAGGGAGAGATCGTGAATGGCTTTAAATGCCAAGAAAATGATTTTATATTTAATACTGAAAATAATAAGGGAGTCACTGGAGTTTATCAAGTGATGTGTTTGGGATGGGGGTGTGACTTGGTCAGACCCATAGTTTAGTAAAATCACGTCAGCAGCTGAGTGAATAGTGGATTAGAATGGGGAGAGATCTGAGACAGGGAGACCAACTAAAATGCAGTGGCAATAGTCCGGTTATGAGGTGATGAGCATCTGAACAAGGATGGTAGCTGTGTCAGTAGAATTCAGGGGCACATAAAGGAGATATTATAAAGGTAGAAATAACAAGTCATCAACATATCAGATATGTGGAGTAAATGCCAGTGAAATGTTGAATATGATACTGAATTTGCAAGCCCTGGGTGACTGGAAAAATCATGGTGCTCTTGATGGTAATAGAAAAGTTGAGAAAGGGAAGGGTTTAGCGTTGGTAAAGAAAGGGAAGCAAAGATAATGATTTCTTCTTTAGGCGTTATGTATCTATGGAACATCTGGTTCAAGATGTCCAAAAAGTAGTTGGTGATGTGAGACTGGAGCTCAGGACAGAAACTAGCACTGGATATATGGATCTGGAAATCATCATCCTCATAAAGATTATAATGGAATACAAGGGAACTCATGATATGTTGAAGTAAAACTATAGAAAGATGCTACTAGTTCCCTATAGTATTTTTTACTTTGGTTTCTAGGGTTTTTTTTTTAATGTAAATAGTATTTTATTTTTCCCAATTACATGTAAAGACAACTTTCAACAATCAGTTTTTATAAGATTTTGAGTTCCAAATTTTTCTTTCTCCCTCTCTCCCCTCCCCTCTCCCCGAGATGGCAAGCAATCTGATATAGGCTATATATGTGCAATCATGTAAAATATATTTCCACATTAGTCAAGTTGTGAAAGAAAAAACAAAACAAAACAAAAAACACAAAAAACAAAGTAAGTGAATATAGTATGCTTCAATCTGCATTCACACTACATCAGTTCTTTCTCTAGATGTGGATAGCATTCTCCATCATGAGTCTTTAGGAATTATCTTGGATCATTATATTGCTGAGAAGAGCTAAGTTAATAATAGTTGATCATTGCACAATGTTACTGTTAATGCCTACAATGTCTCCTGAGAGTCCTATCATCTTAAGGGGGTCATAGAAGGAGTCTTATTAGAGAGCCTGGAAGTAATTCTGTTATGTTTTGATGATCTTAAAAGAAGAAAGGATAGGGAGATGAAAAGGAATACACTAGTGGGGAAGAAAGGAGGAAAAATGGGGGAAATCATCTCACATAATCAGGATACACAAGTTGAAGTTTATACAAACTAGGAGGAAGGGATGGGGGGGAGTAGATAACACATGAACCTCATTCTCATTTGAAATCAAAGGAGAGATGACTACACACACATAAAGTCAGGAATAGAAATACATTTTACTCAATAGGGAAATAGGAGGGAAAGAAAAGAAAGAAGAAAGGGAAATAAAGGAGAGGATAGATTAAGAAAGGGGTTAATCCCAAGCAAAACAAACTCTAAGGATACACACACACACACACACACATACACACACACACACATTCGTAGCATCTCTTTGTGGTGTCAAGGAAATGAAAACTGAGATGGTGCCTACCATTTGGGGAATGGCTAAACAAATTATGGTACATGAATGTAATGGAATTCTATTGTGCTGTAAGAAATGATAAAGGGAATGGTTTCAGAAAAACCTAGGAAGACTTGCATGAACTGGTGCACAGTGAGGTG